TGCAGTCCTAACTACTTTTGTACTACTCATAAGCTTTGTTGTTTAAAGCAGTTGATTTAATCATTGACACGAAAGCATGGAGAGAGGAAAAAAAGTCAACGGAACAAAATGCGTTCTAAAGTATGTTGATTCATATACGACGTCCAGGTGTGCGCCATGCGTGAAATTAGCTTTCTTTGACCGTGAGCTAACCAGTTAATTAGCTTTAGCTTTAACACAGCCACGAATTAAACAGTAAAACATTCACCCCAAATCCGCCGTATGTCTTGTAAAATTAAGTTAATTAATATTTGACATTTGGGAGTTTGTTTTCTTTTGCTGCGATCATCAGTTGTTGCCATTAAGCTTAGTTTTAGCTTCAATCTAAAGCCATGAAAACAAGACAACTAAATCCACCTAAAAACATCTGCGTGTCTTCTAACGTCATCTCAGTTAAAATATGACATACCAGAACCAAGTTTTCTTTCGTCATGAATTAACCAGCAAATTTGCATCGTCACAATTCTGCTGCATAAAGTTTGGCTGATTGGTTTGATGCGGCAACAACTTGAAGATAGGAGTTTAGCTTTATGCTTGAACTCTGAACCGATTCTTGTAAAAAGAGCAAAAATTATTTGTCAAATATACCCTATTTTCCTGAACACATACACCAAAAAAAATGATTGGGAATCAATTTGTCTCTTGTAGGATTCCGTGCCAAGTTTGTGTGCTCAGCTACCGATCACTTTGCAATGTTGTCATTATACGATGCAGCTTCCGTCAACGCATCATTTGATTATTTTCAACGTAACACAAAGCCATCATGTGCTGAACCGAAGCTTGTTTTTTGAGGATGAGCGTTGCCGACGTGCTTGCACTCCAGTGCGGCCTGCCAGACATTAAAAGACAATGCAGCTTAAGGACAACGTGACGGACTGCGGCAGCTGGGGGGGGGGGGGGGCGCGGGGGGGCAGCTGTCCGAATGATACTGTGCGGCAAATAAAAGAACTCTTTTATTTGCCGCACAGTGGGTGTGGAGTGGGTGTGTCCGCTAGCTCGTCTCTGAGGCTCGGCGAGCAAACCGTTTTCCATTCAGACCATGGTTGAAGAACAACACTGTCAAATGAATGCCAGATTGTTTTTGTGCTTTTATGAAAAACAGATTTTGAAGGTGGTTAGTCTAAAAACAACAAAACAGACAAACATTTTTTTTTCTCTGAAAAATAAAAATGACTGCTCTATTACTTGTGATAATTTTTGGGGGGTTATTTTTAGCCAACTACACCTGTTTTTTGTTAGTTTGTTTTTTACAAAATTGACAAACAAAAAAATCTTCTTGGTGTTTCTCATTAAAAAGAAATAAATACAAACAAAATATTTTTGTTGATGGATTGACTAAAAAAATAACACAAAAACAATCATTTTTGGGTTTAAGCAGGTGAAAGCAAAAGATGCAAAATTATCTTCCATCGAAAAACCAAAAACACTTCTCAATGCTGCATGACTTCTTGGTGAGTTGGACCTCCCACCCAAAAAAACAAAACCAAAAAAACTTTTAACATAAAAATGACTTGACACAAACCAAACACTCATTGTCAAGTGAACACATTTCAGTGGCTAAATGGACATACCGTATGATGTGGCTAATAGCTTCAAACATTGCCACCTCATAAAAAGTTGTTATGACGCCCCCCCAAAAATGGACTTCTCATCAAGAGTTGGTTTGTTTAAGCCTGATGGCAAACGTTGCTCATGTACGTCGTGTCTGTTCCCAGATCCTTTGGCACTTTCATTTCCCAAAAGGGGAGATTTTTGTTTCTTAAAAAAAAATTCTGGCTGCATTCAGCGCTGGCACCAGGGTGTGTGTGGATGTAACACACAATGCACACACTTGAACCTAAAAACATGAACACAGTAGAAAATGAAGTGTGACAATACCCGGAAGGTGCCGTTTCACAATACGATGACAACATGAAAAGCAGGACCAAATTACATTGCATCAACACTTAAATGGGGGGGGGTTGGTCAAATGAGAGCAGCTCTTGTACCAAATGTATGATTAGAAAGAACAAAGAAATAAGTGGCACTACAGGTGACCCATTAACCAGCTAACTCACTAACTACCAACCAGCTAATTAATTAACCAACAAGCCAGTTTATCAACTTAGTCGCGTGCTAACTGACTTTCTGACCCCCCCCCCCAAAAAAAAACATATCACTAGCTAATTAGCCAACCAACAAACTAATAAAACAGCTAACTCTGAACAACCAAAAATTTCGAATGTGGTTTGACTGTCATCTCAAGTTTGAAAACTAACAAAAATAGTGTACGTGTGTATGTACATAAAAATATATTCCATGTTGATGAGAGCAGTGAAATGGGAAAAAAGAGGAGAAAAGGACTAGATAAAAATCTGTTATTAATTACGGATAATTCTGAGTTAACTATGAAATTATACTTTTGATCGCGATTAAATATTTTAATCGTTTGACAGCACTCATATATATATATATGAAATGT